TCTGATATCAAAAAAAGGTTAGCAACATTGTTGCAACAAGTTCACAAACTTAATTGTCAGCCCTCCCCGTAAGCTCAGGGGAGGGTGTGGTGAATCTGCTGATTTATGTTTGTAAAACAACCCTCTGTCTACACAAGAGAATTGAAAGCATGGCCTCAAAGAGATGTTTGCACACCCAGGTTCACAGCAGCACTATTCATAATAGCCAAGAGGTGGAACAGCCTAAGTGCCCATTGACAGTGAATGGATAAACTGCGGTATATATCCACCCAATGGAACATTATTCAGCCTAAAAAAGGAAGGAAATTCTGACACGTTACAAGGATGAACCTGAGGACACTATGCTCAGGAAAATGATCCAGTCACAGAAGGACAAGTACCGTATGGTTCCACTCATACGTGTATGAGGTCCCTAGGGTAGTCAAATCATAGAGACAGAGCACAGAATGACGGTGGGGGCCGGGGAGTTGCTGCTTAGTGGGCAGAGTTTCTGTTTGAGAAGGTGAATGTATTCTGCAGATGGATGGTGGAGATGCCTGTACAACACTGAAAATGGACTTAATGCCACTGAGCTTTACACTTAAAAATGGTTAAGATGGGGGCCGCCCGGGTGGCTTAGTTGGTTAGAGTGCGAGCTGTGAGCAACAGGGTGGCTGGTTTGATTCCCACATGGGCCAGTGAGCTGTGCCCGAGCTGAGCTGCCAATGGGAGACCGGGTGAGAGCATGTGCTCTTAGCAGCAGGGTTGCCAGTTGAACTCCCGCATGGGGGTGGTTGGTGGGCTGCGCTCCCAGCATCTAGACTGAAAAACTGCGAGTGGACTTGGAGTTGAGCTATACCCTCCACAACTAAGATTGAAGGACAACAACTTGAGTTGGAGCTGATGGGTCCTGGAAAAACACAATGTTTCCCCTTCCCCAATTCTCCAACACTGTTCCTTTCCCAAATTCCCCAATAAAAGTTAAAAAAAAAAAAAGGCTGAGATGGTAAATTTTATACTCTACCACAAAAAAATGCCATAAAAAAGCAGCCTTTTGAGAGCTGTGTGGAAATTGACTGGAGGAGGGGGGCTTGAATGAAGGCAGATATACCAAGGGGAGACCAGGAGGAGGTTATTGCAATGGTCCAGGCGAGAGGAGATGGAGGCTGGAACCAGAGTGATGGTTAGGAGGAGGAGAGATGCGGTGGGTTCCAGATGAATTCTGAGGTAAGCCGAAAGGATCTACTGCAGGGTTGGACGTGGGTCTGAGAGAGAGCAGAGTCAGGGTTTGGGCCTGGTGGAGGGAAGAGGGACATAGGATGCCCAGGTCTTCATGGCACGTGAGGCTCATAAGTCTGAGTGCACCCACATGTCTGACCGCTCAGCTGAGAGGGCCCTGGTCTAGGCCCAGGCCTTAGGAAGCTGACAATCCCACTTCCTGTTTCTTAGCACACTTACCCTGGAATCCTTGCCACCATGCAGGAAGGATGCTCAAGGTACATACAGTGTTTCTAGCTGAGGTCCCACTAGTGTCATCTGCCAGATGTGTTAATGGAGACACCTCTGGAAGATTCCAGTCCTGGTCTCTGCTGACTGGACTCATGGGGGAGACATGTCAGCAAGAACTGACGGAACCAGGAGAGAACAACAGCCACTGAGTCAGGTGACTACCTGGCAGTGGATAAGTGGGACACTCAGGTAACCAACTGCTGAGGCACAATCTTTCCCAACCACTGTCCCCCAACTGGGGGATGTTTTGCTTGGCAATGAGGTCTCCTTTTTGGCGTCCTACCCTGATTCTGCTCAGCTACTTTTGGGGACAAGAATGACACTGCTCCAATATTGAAGGCTGACTGGTGTTTCTCTGATAACTTAGTTGTCACCGTCACTGAAAACCGTGGGTCTCAGCAGCACATGACAGAGGTGATGCAAGCCTCAGAGGACGTGGGGTAATGAGGATGACATGGTTGTAGTGGTTGCTCTTGCCTAGCTGTTCCCTCTCCTGTCCCACACCCTGGAGAGTCATGGTCCTGGCCCATGAGGTCAGTGTGGTCAATGCATCCCACATGCAAGTGAGGTGCATCCCCTGAGACCAGACTATGGTGTTGCTGGCACTAGTCCCTGGGCATCCCAAACACGAGTGAGGTGCGTCCGCCTGAGACCAGACCATGGTGTTGCTGGTGCAAGCCCCTAAGCTTCCCTTCCCTCCCAGAGATATTGGAAGCATATGTAAGAACACGCTGCTCCACCAGCCTCCACTGTGCAGAGCCCCTGCCTGTCACATTGGGCATATAGTGTGAGCAAGGAATAATGAGGCTGTTTGAGCCTCTGAGGCTGGGGAGGTTGATGGACTGAATGCTTGCATCCCCCCAAAATCCATATAATTGAAGCCTTACCTCCTGTGTGGCTCTATTTGGAGATGGGCCTCTAAGGAAGTAATTTGGGAATGAGGTCATAAGTGTGGGGCCCTGATCCCACAGGATTAGTGTACTCATAAGGAGAGACACCAGAGCTGTCTTGTCGCGTCCTCTCCCACTCTGCACAAGAACAAAAAAAGCCACAGGAGGACATAGGGAGAAGGAGGCTATCTGGAAGCCAGTAGGATGGCTTTCACAGAAACCAAATTGGCCAGCAACTTGATCTTGGCCTTCCAGTCTCCAGAACTGAGAGACAGAAATGGCTGTGGCACTTGTTATGGCAGCCCCAGCTCACCGAGACAGGGGCTGTTTGTTTCAGCAGCATAACCTCGTCAATCCTGAATGCTATAACAGCAACAGAAGTTCATGTTTCTCAAGCTGACAAGGAAAGTGGGAGTGAGTCATGTGGCCTGCAAGGGCAGTGTTGCAGGAAGGGGGAACGGCAGGTGCTAAGGCCCCTTGGTGAGAGTGAGGTTGGGGTTTCAAAAAACAGCAAGAAAAGGTGTTTCTGTCTTCCCAGTACAAGCTGGAATTGGTTTTAGGGGGAGTTTGGGGCCGGCTCCCCCTCATCCTCATCTGTGGATGGGTGAAGCCCCTCTGCTCTGCTGTGGGACGCAGCTCCCTCCCCACTCCTTGGAGGGGCTGTCTCTCGACCCAGCTGAGACCCTTAGGCCGTGGCACAGATGGGTTCTGCCAAGGCCTCCTGCCCCCCAGATCTCCAGGGCAATGGGTCTGCGTCCAGGCTGCACCTTCTCCAGGTGGGTACATCCTTTCTCTCCCCCGTCCTCCTGCCCCTGCAGCTCCCTGGAGGCCATCTGGATGCCAGTCTCTGTGACTCTCAGCTCACGGGGGCTACAGCAGAATGGGGCTGCCCTCCTTTTGCCACATCACCCCAATCCTCCTGTCCTCTGGTCCAGCAGCCCAGGGTCAGGCACCTGAGGACAAAACACCCGTCTCCCCTTGCAGGCACTGCCAAACCCTCGTGGCAGGCTTCTTGCCCCCCAGCCTCCCACCACCTCCTCCCAATGAGGGCTGGAGGATGGAGAGGGCCTGGTGGGGCTCACTTGCGCTGAGGATGAGGGGAACTCAGAGCCTTTTCTCATCAGCATTGACCCTTGGTGGAGTTGCTGAGCCCTGTAAGGAGCCAAGTGGTTTCTGAGAGCTATGACATCCTCCATATGATCCATATCACCCTCTATATGATCAATGCAGCAGGGCGGCTGTCCACCCCTGCCTGGCCTCTGCAGCTGAGCCTGCAGGCAGGTGGCTAAAGGACTTCCCTTACCGCTCCTGGAAAAGCCAGAAGAGCAGAGTTGCGGGGTACCCCACCATGTGCACACCACACACTGCTCTGGTTGAGGGCGGGGTCTGAGCTTGCCTACCTGGAGTCCCTGCTGGGTCTCCCCAGGAGCACGAGTGAAAACCAGCAAGCCTAAGTGAGCACCACAGGCATAATCTCTGGCCTCAGGATCCTACTCTGGAACCCATCAACAGAAAAGCACCCCAGAACAGAAAGGACGTTAGCGACCCTCGCTGGTGGCTTTCCAGGGATCACAGTATAGATGGACTGCTTTGTGTGGCCTGTATCAGGACATGTTTGTAAGTGATGAAAAACACAACAGATGTGGCTTCAGGGGCCAGTGTGGGCTCCTTCAGGACAACCTGCTCTTCTTCGTCAGGCTCCCCTCCTCATGGCCCCAACATGGCTGCAGGGCCTCCAGGCAGTGACTTCTTGGGTCAGAGTTAGTTCTAGTCAGTGCAGCTTCAGGCAGGAAGCAGGGAGGGTCTGGGGACAAACCATATCAAGTTTTCTCAATAGCTAGACAGGTCACACCAGAAATCACAGGAGACTGGAGGTCAGATTTTAACTGGCCCAGGACACACATAGGCTCTGCTGATGAGAGACAGGTAGGGTGGGTCCATTCAGAAGACGGGGCTGTGCAATGAGCCCAAGGTAATCTTAGATGGAGTCAATGTCTAGAGTCACACCTGAGGGGTGTGTATACACAGGTACATTGCATGGGCTCCCACCAGCCTTCCCCTCAGGGAGTGGGGCTGGGGGAAAGAGACATGGCACCTTTTCGGCTAACTGCACTAACAAATGACAGGTTAGGGGACTGTGATGGCTCTAAAGGTTCCTGCCCATGCTTGGGACTCCCTCCACCCAAAAGTGGAGTCCAGCTGCTTCCCATGTTGAACAGCAGTGACCTGGCATGATTTTCCCTGAAAGGCAAGGTTCACACCTTGAGACTCTCACCATGGAAACATCCACCATGGTGTGAGAAGGCCCAGGCCACTCAAGGTGCCACTACCCCATGAGGTCTCTGCCGACAGCCAGCAGCAACTCCAAGGTGTCTATCAGTCAGCCAGCCAGCCAGCCAGCCTTCCACATGACCCAGAGCTAGTCACCACGGGAGGGGCTCCACGACACCTGCAGCCACCATGATAGGGACCCCATAAGACCTGCTTCATTGAGCCCTGGCTGTCCAGAGCTCCTAGTGGTAATAAAAGGGACTGTAGTTTTAGGCCACTTAGCTTGAGATTTTGTTATGCAGGGATTGAAAATCGAGCCAGTGATTTTTTTTACCTTTGCGTTTTTCAGGATTAGAATTGTTTATTTCACACCCCTCACCACAACTTTACAGATAACGGATGCAGCACCCACCTGGGTCCCTGTTTACAGGCAGCCCTCCCTGTGGAGGAAAACGCATCCCTGTGATTGCTGAGGTTAGCTGCCCTCTTCCTCTGCTATGCAAAACTAGATGTGCTTAAAATGTCCTGTCTCTTTAAAAGCGCCTGGCTGGAGGGAGGGCTGCAGCTGTGTTGTGAACCTCAGAGGTAGTTTCAAGGAAGCTTGTCTATAAAAACTGCTACAGCTGGGCTCCCCAGGGACAGGATGCTCTCCGTTGGGGTCCCCAGGCTCCAGAGTTAAGATGGTGCCCTGAGGGATCCCTAAACCTGGGAGCTGACTTCACTGACCAATTTTGATCTGGACATGTATTGAGATGTAGGTGGCCGGCTGGTGGGGTCGGCCTGGTCCTCCTAGCGTGAAAAGTAGCTCTAGCCTGGGTCTCGATCACCTTGGGATATGGGTCATGGGCTGTCTGGGCATTCCCACGGTGGGCCTGGGCGCAGGCAGGGTCTGCCCTGGGTTCGCTGTGTGTACCATCACCTGGGCCCAAGGTGAGCAGGCAGGGCTGCTGGGGGTCCAGAGGTCCTTTTCCATGCCACGTGCCACACCAGCCAGCTCTTGGGTGCCCTCAAGATCTCTGCAGGGAGAGAAGTTGTGAGGTGGGGGAAGAGAGAGGACCCCATTTAACCCCAACCCCACCCTCATGCCAGGCCTCCAGGCTCCCAAACCCCAGCCTTCAGTGGGCCTGGGGCAGACGGCTGCCCCGAGGTCAGGGATCCCCAGCCATCCCTCCTGTTGGAGTGGCCCTGAGCCTGAGGAGGCCCCTCACCCATGTGAGGGGGGTGATCCAAGGAGAGGCCAAGGACTTGGGGGACCCTATCGAGTTACCTTCCAAGGTGGGGGTAGGGAAGGGGCTTCCCCGGGTTGTGTCTAAAAAGGGGGCTTATTCAGAGTGTGTACAAACCATAGGGCTCAGGCTGCCTCCTCAGACCAGGATAGACCAAGAACATCCAGGGGAACAACTTTGCTCCTACCAGGCTGTCCTCTGGTGGTCTGGGGCCAGATCACCTACCTACCTTCTACATCTTTAGTTCCCTTGTGCCCCACCCCCTCCACCCACCAAACCACAAACCAACCCATATCCAGGTTGATCAGACCTTTGCCTGACCCCACCTGGCCCACCCTGTCTACCCCTTGCGATAGCCTCTGCTCCCTGAAGGCTGCCTGGCTGCTCCACCTCCAGCCATCCGCAGGGCTGTTCCCTCCCCTTAAGATGCTGTCTCTCTCCTTCCCTCAAATTCAGGCTCTCTCATTGTGTTCACTTCAGGCATCACCTCTTCCAGGAAGCCTTCCTGGATCTCTGTTCCCATCCACACCTAATTCTCAGAAAAGCTCTAGGAAGTAGTAGGAATTAAGATGTTATCTGTTGGTGCAATGCATAAGTGAATGAATCAATTAATGAATTGGTGAAGAGGAAAGATAGCTTAGTGGGCAAGTCTGTGGACTATGGAGCCAGATAGCCTGAGTTTAAACCCAGCTTCACGCTTAGTGGTTGTGTGTGATTCTGGACAAGCTTCTTAAATGGGATAAGAACAGTGCCCACCCCTAAGGATAGAACAGGGAATATCTGGAAGAGCTTAGAACAGCACCTGGCCCATTATGAGTCCTGGGAAGCATTTATGAAAAAAAGCAAGGTCAAGGGGCAAACCTTGTCTTGCTGATAACAATTTTACCACCAGTAAGTGGGAGAATTGGAGGCACCTGGGCCTTGCCTAGGCCTGAGGCACCTGGGCTGCAGTCAGAGTGTCCCTGCCTGGGAGCCAGAGGTCCTGGGGACTTGGGGGACCTTGCCTCCATGTAATTGTGCAGCCCTGGGTGGGAGCCGCCTTTCCTGAGTCCCCACTGAGCTGGGGGGGGAGGAGGGGTTCTGACCCCAAGGCTACCCTAGCCTCATGTTCTACTTCCTACCTTGAGCTGTACTGACTATAGCTTACTCTCAGAGTGGCCCCCAAGCCAGCCTTCTGTCAGGGGCCTCTCATGGCAGCCTCCCCACTCCTTAGGGGAGGTGGCCACACAGTTCCCTACATAGCTCTGTGCCAGCCATAAGAGGGAGAGAACAAATCTCCAGGTCTAGCAACAGGCATCTGGGGAGTGGCATAGGACCCCTGGAGTCCATAGCCCATCTCAGCCACTGTGAGCTGGCCTGGGGCCTGGTCCAGGACACCATGTAGCCCAGAGAGGCAGCAACTGTTCCCCACATTCCATTGGTGCTCTTCCCAACTGAGACATGGGACAATCTATCACAGGTCTGTAATGGGGAGGGGCCTGTCACAGGGTGGGGGAAACCTGCCAAAAAATCTGTATGACAAGGACCACCTCAACATAATAACTAAAACGAAAAGGAAAGTACTTGCAGGCAACTGAGGAATAAAGCTCCCTTCCACACGGTACACAGAGATCCTAGTATTTATGAGAGAAGCATAAGCAGGCAAGTCAGCAAAGCAAACAGAAGTGACTAAAATCAGCAATGCAAGTGACTGGGGAGCAAAGAGATGGAGAATACCCTTCCTCACCATTAGTCACAGAAACACGATGACAACGACCTGTGTGACCTGCTAAGTTAACAAGTGGAAACATGGTATTAACACTCAGTGATGTAAAAACGGCTCCACTAACTTGTGCTGGGTCCCTAAAGAATTTGGTAATCAAAATATTCAGACTATTTGGCCTAACCAGTCTGTTCCTAGGATCACCCCAAAATGTCATCGCAAAAAAGAAAAACAGCTCTAAGCACCAATGTTTGCCTTAACCTGAGAGCAATTGGGGAGGGTCTCACCAGCACGAGAGCATCTAGAGCATCTGGGGCCCCTGGCCACCAGGGCAACTTGATGACCTGTCATGTCACGTGGAAAGGGTGCAGCAGCGTACCTGCCATGGCCACTGCAAAGCAGGCCTAACGTTTGAAGCTTGAGGGAGGAAGACAGGAGTCAATTCCTCCTGTAGGCCAGGCCCAGCGTGTCACATGTGGACACAGGACCAGACAGACCTATGTCAATCCCAAACCGGTGGCCACTTCCTGTGCCTCAGTTTCCTTATTTGCACAGCAGGTAGAAGAGCAGAATTAACAACAGCAGCTAGCAGTCATTGAGATGACCCTACTCCAGTCACCTCAACAGGGCTGGGAGGTGAGCACTGCTGAGATCCTCACCATGCAAGTGAGGAAACAGAGGTGCAGTAGTTGTCATACAGCTGAGGCAAGCACTTGGCTCCCTGGGACAGGCCATCTGCCTGTGCGCTGCAGGCCCGGTTTCTGAGTATGGCCCTCCACCCAGCTGTTAGAGGGGCGGCCACCCTGGGGTACAGGCAGAGAAAGTACTAGATGGGCCAGGACATCTTGTGGGAGAAAGGAGGTGTTCAGAGTGCGAGAGGCACGAGCAGGGCACAGCCCGTGAGGCGGGGCTCCCACCAGGGAAAGGCTGGAGCCCACAGGAAACTGCAGACAGACAGCTTGGAGAATGGTGCCCACGGAGGATGGCACACAGGGACAAGAGACCTGCTATATTATTCTCTCTGCTTCTGCATATTTGTGAAATTTCCCCCAAATAAAGCTTTAGAAAAGAAAACCGATACGTTCATAGCGATACAAAAACAGCAAAATGCGAAAACAACACAAAACAAAACAAAACTCATCCTCACTTCACACAGAAAAAAATTACAGAATCACAAGAATTAAAATCACAATTTTGTAACCCCCAGGGCAAAACCTGATTTCAGCAGGATCATCAATGGATGTTGAGGCCCAGGTCAGAGGTCATGGGGCTGCAGAGTCCCCTGGCAGAGTCCCTTCTTCATCACCTAACATGGATATGTCGTGGCCAAGAGACCCCAGTCCACATGCTCGTGAGGCCGGCCTGACCCATGGCCCCTGACCCCTGACCCATGTCTCACCAGCACCACCACGTCACCTGCAACAGAAACGCAGGCCAGTGCCAATGCCAGGCAGTCCAGAACAAGGTCTCTGTAGGCAACCACCAGCCAGCCACCAAAGACAAAAAGCTTGTCTCCATTCCAGGAGCCCAGAGACCCAGCAGCCAGCGCCATGCATGACTGTGGGTCAGAGGGCGCAAGTGCAAAGCTGGTGAGAACTCTGGGAGGTGTTGTATCTGCAGTCCATGTTCAGCCAGCATTAGACTCATTAGTCAGAAAGGTGCCTACGAGAATGTGTGCGTGTGTGCACTGAGGGAGGGAGAGAGAGGCAGGAGGGAGGACAGAGCAAGTCCACACACACCCTGTGGAGCCTGGCTGGGTGCTGGTGAAGGCAACACTCATGTCCAGAAGCTTCACCTTCTCCACAGGTTTGAATAAAGTTGTGGGGTGGGTGGAGGCTCTGGGCGCCAGTGTGCGGGGTCAGCTACGGTGTTAGCAGGACCAGCAGCCTAGATCTAAGGCCCAGGTGAGCCTGACCAGCCAGGGGCCCCGCCCTCACCCACAGCCCCACTGCCCCCAGGCTCGTGCCCACGTGGTGAAGCTGTGGTTGTCGTGCGCCTGGCCGGGCTGGCTCCTGGAGTCGCTGCCGTTATTGTTACTCAGGCCCTTGAGGCCCAGGTAGGCAGCCTGCACCGTCTCCAAGTCTTCGCCTCTGAGCTGGAGCCATAGCTGGGCAGTCCTGGGGAGAGATTCGAGGATGCTGCGTGTGTGGGCAACCAAGCCATCCGCCCCCTGCAAGGGTTTTAGAGCCACATAGCCCCTGTGCCACTCTTTAGCTCTACCGCTGGAGGCCAAAGTGATCTCAGATGATGGGGCAACACCAGAACACTCTACTTACAAAGCAGGTGGTGGAAAGCTCTAGAGATGGAGGCATAACACAGTGAATTGTACTAATGTCCCTGAACTGTGCTCTTACCGATGGTTAAAATGATAACTTTTATGTTGTAAATATTTTACCACAATTAAAAAAAATACCCCCCAAAAGACAAATTACAGTGAAAAGGCAGCGGGTGGTAGGCCAGACTGTCTGCAGGCTGTAGTCAGCCCCACATGCCCGACACAGCAGGATGCACACCCGGCAGCCAGAGATGACAGGATGACCAGCCCTGTGGACCTGTGGCCCACGTGCCCCCCACTGCTGACATGCTCCACAACCAGGATGCCAAGCCCCGGCTGCAGTGGGGCAACCCTGACAGACCCCTCTGCAGCCAGCCTGGGCTGTGGGGCAGCTCTTGATAGGGCAATGCTGCTCCCCAAGCTCCTGGACACCCTTAGGAGGCCCCGAGTTGCTGAGGGTGCTGTCACCCCTTGGGCAATGCGGGGGGTGCTGCTGGCTCCTGGGGTGTCAGGGCTCAGGGTGCAGGCCCAAGTCTTGGGAGGATGCATGCAGGGCCACCACACCTGTCCAGGCGTCGCTGCTCATTCCTATTCACGCACTTCAAAAGGCAGCAGGTGAGGAAGGCCATGGACATGAGCAGGATGATGGCACAGCTGACGATGGAGGCGATGATGGCCACCTTGAAGCCGAAGGTCTCATGGGCTATCATAGCTGCGAGGGAGACAAGACCAGCTTCTGGGAGTGGCTCACCCAGGCCCAGCAGCAGTCACCCAGCCTGCCTTCAGGAAGCCCCATTCCCCAGGGGAGGCAGGGAGGTGCTGGTGGCCAAGGGGAAGGTCTGTGCAAACTGCTGTAGGGGTGAGGCTATCCCAGAAGACGATTGCCCAAGAAGGGGGTGTTTGGGCAGGGCTTTGGAGGGTGTGTAGGAGCTCATAGTGGCACACTGGGAAAAGCTCTGACATGGAGTTCAGTGAGCCACTCTGGCTCTCACCCACTGCTGCCTAAGCCCCCAAGGCAGATGACAGCAGAAAGCCCTTGGTTTGTTTTCACAATGCCCCGAGTAGGCAAATTCTTCAGGGGCCTATGTGTCTTTTCTGGTCACTTTCCAGGAAGGCAAAAAGCAAGGAAAATGCCCAAGTTTGGGGTCAAAGGCTTTCTCCAGATATCAGCTGCATGACCTCGGCTATGTGCCAAGAACTAGTTCAATTGGGTTCCAAAAGATGTCCTGGGAAAACGAGGCCCAGGATCCTAATTCGAGCAATGTCACATATCTCCCCAGTAGTGGATACTACTCATATTCCCCAGTCCCATCCCCTAGCCGGACACTGGCCATCCAGACTGAAGACTACATCTCTCAGCCTCCTTTGCAGCTACATGTGGTCACATGACCATGTTCTGCCCAGTGGGGGACAAAAGGAAGGGGTTCAGGACAACTTCTAAGAGCCTTCCTTGTCTTGCCTCTAATCCTGTCACAACTACCTGGAACACAGTTGCCAATATCCTGGATCACACAGTTGAGGTCACGTCCAACAGAGCCACAACATGGCAGGGCCTGGATCACCACCATGGGGCGCCAAATGAGCCTAGGACTGCCCGATCTGAGGGCTATCGGTAAGGTAAAGCTCCATAGCCCCTATTATTCTGGTTAACTCCTGCTATCTTTGGTTTTGTGTCTTTTGGGATCTAATCCTAATAGATATGCTACTTCTCAGAGATTAACCTAGCACATGAGCATTTTAAAGGCTCCGAGAAGTCCTGCAGCCTATTAGCCTGGGCTTTTCCAAACTGTTTTGACCACTGAGCGCTTTTTATTGCACAATACACATTAACACAATACATGTAGCCTTTGAAAAATGCTGTACTGGGTATTATCCTTTAACACCTTGTACAACAAATACAACTAGAAAACCATTTCCTCCCCCAGACTGGGGCCCTAATGCCAGGTGCATCCTGGCCCTCAGTGTCCACAGCTCTAGAATTCTTGGTATATGGAGTATCATCTTAAGGTTTACCACATGCATGCATAAAAGAATGAATGACCATAGAATAGATAAGTGCCAGCTCAGACAGTACAAATAACCTCCTGGAGGTGACAGGCCAAGTCAGTGGCAGTCCTGTGATTTGGAGCAGCTGCTAGGACTTGAGTCTACTCTATGGACATGGAGGAACACCAGCACTGGGAGCAGGACCCTACACAGAGGCCCAGCTGTGACTCAGCATCCTCTGTGCCTTCGTGGACACACATGCTGTCCATGTGACAGATGCAGGTCCCCTCCCACTCAGGGCAGCAGCTGGTCTGGGGGCAGCTAAGGAGGAGCAGGTCTCACACTTGCACACAGGGGTCCCTGAAGACCATGCAGCAAAACTCTCCTTCCAGGCACAGGTTAGGAGGCTGGATCCCACCATCTGGTGGCCTGTGGGGCAGCGGAACACGATGACAGTTCCCACAGCAGTGCCATCACCATGAAGGACTTGGAGGGTACCCCTTGGGGGCGGCTGCACTTGGGTGCACGTGCCTAGGGAGAAAAAGAGGATAGCATGAGAATCCCACCTTGGAGGGCAGGGGCTGGACAGCAGCCCCCACCTGGGACAGGTGCCGCTGCCTCAAGAACCATGTGACCTCTAGCAGTCACCCAGCCACCCAGACCACCAGGAGTAGCAGCCACAGAGGCAGTGGCCTGGGGACAAATGCAGAGCTGATCCCTACATTATGTCAACTCTCAAAGTTCTGAAGACCACAGCGTTGAAAAAGAAACACACTGGCATATGACTCAGCAATTAAAAAAAAATGACATCTTGCCATTTGAGACAATACGGATGGCCTAGAGAATATTACGCTAAGTGAAATAAGTCAGACAAAGAAAGACAAATACTGTATGATCTCACTTCTATGTGGAATCTAAAAAACAAAACAAATTAATAAACAAAAGAGAAACAGACCCATATACACAGAGAACAAGCTGATGGTGGCCAAAGAAGAGGGAGATGGGGGATGGGTAAAATATTTTTTAAAAAAGAGACAAATTGAAGTAAAAAAAAAAAGAAAGAAAAATAATCCTGAGCAGGAGATTCTTAAAAAAAAAAATGTAACTCACACCTACGAATCAATAAAAGGTAGATTTTATAGTTGTGGGGGGAAAAATGCTGTGCAAAGCTTGGCACGCACAAAAAAGAAAAAAGAAAAAAGAAACACGGATCAGAAGATAAGAAAAGCAAATACATCGTGATTATCCAAGCATAGGTCCAAAGGCAGAATCAAGAAAAGAAAAAGGAGAGAGAGATCGACACATGTGATTACATGAAAAGTAAAAAGCAAAAATTTTTGTTACTCTCTAATATTGAAAAACAAACTTGGATGAAAAAATTAGGGAAAGATATTTGGAGAACACAGGACAAAGGTTCAACATCCTTAATTTATAAAGAGATCTTACACAATAAAGCTGAATATCCAAATGAAAAAGAATGGGCTGATGTGTGAGCAAGCATTTCACAAGAGATACAAATGACCAAGACACATGAAAAAAAGCTTGCCCTCACAGTAACTGAAGAAATGCCTATTGAAATGAATGTTAATATTTCACGCCTCAAAATTAGCAAAAGGTGAAAAAGGAAAAAAAAAAAAAGGACCATGTGCAAAGTTAGCAAGGGCCTGGGAGCAACTCCTCTGGGACTTTGCTGGTGGGTGCAGACCCAAACTTTCTGGATGGAGTTTGGTAAAACGTATTAAGAGCTTTATGTTGTACATTCATCTGAAGTGTTTTATTCAAAGGAAAAATTAATAATCTGCTGCCAGGATTTCACCACCAGGATGTTTGCCTCAGAGCACATAGAAAAGTGAGAAGTGGAAACCACCTACGTCTCCAGCTGTGGGAATGGGTGCAATAAATCTAGGTACATCCTGATAATGAAATTCAGCAAGGCCTCCTAAAATGTTACAACATCCTGGTACAAGGACACGGAGAGACAATCTAGATGAAGTGGCAATCGCAAGCATTTTTATAAAATAATAGCAATGACCACAGCTAGCATTTATGCAGAACCTACTGTGCATTGGATGCTGTTCCACATGTTTTACACACATTAACTCATGGATCTGCATACCCCTTCTGAAGGAGAACCATCATTCTCCCCACTTGACAGGTGAGCAAACTGAGGCACAGAGCAGTTAGCTCACTTCCTGAGGTCATACAGCTCGTATGCTATAGGGCAGAAATTCAGAACAAGGCAAGGAAGGAGGCTACAGCCTATGTTCTCAACACACAGGCCCACAGATATGTGCACATGTGCAAACACACATTGGCACACATGCACACATGCCATGTGCCCTTTCTGTCTGGTTTGCCCTGCTTGGCACAATGTGGGAGGCACTGGGCTACATGCATACATGTGCCCTATTTACTTCTATTCCCTGCTGATGGGTGAATGGGCTGTTTGGAGAATTCAGAATGAAGCTCCTATGGATGGTCCCCAGCATGCCTCCTCAGCCTGAGTGTAGGAGAGGCTCTTCCTTCTGCTTTTCTGTTTTTTTCTGATTTTGAGCACTGACTGTACTAGTGGTGCATGAAGGCAGAGCATTCAGTCTCGGAGAACGGAAACTGGGTATGCGGGCTGTCTGGACTGTGCCAGCAGACACACTGACTGGGGGGCCCAGCAGCCAACATCCTCAGCAGACAGCAGCCAAAGCTGGAGCAATGGGGGAGAGGGGAGCAGAGGCTGGCTCCCCCAGCAGAGGGCACACCCATCAGAGACGACTCTTTACCTGTCCTCCAGCCAGGATCCCTGCATGGCATGCTGGGCATAGATGGCCCACTGCCCACTCAGATGGCCCCCCATGACCCAGTCAAGCGCCTATGCTCCCACCTGCTGCTCCTTGGCCTCCCCCCACTTGAACTCCGATGTTAGTCTGCAATCTTTATTTGCTTCAGTCCCAAATCTTAGAACTTACCTGGATCTTTCTCAATCCACAACCAACAAAGCTTTCAAAAATATATCCAGGACATCTGTAGTAGGCTGGAGTGTCCCCCCAAATCCAGGTCCACCTGGAAGCAGCTGTGGGGAGCTCCACTGTGGAATGTACAGCACCCCATTTCACACAGGTGTGGGGACAGGGCACACCCAGAACTGCCCAGAGCAGTGGCTGTCACTCTGGAGGGCTGCACACACCCCATGTCAGCACTTCACACGCTGCCAGACAACCAGCCCCAAGCTCAGGGAGGCCAAGCCACTCCTCGCCTGGCCATGTTGCCCTGACCCACTCAGTGCGAGGGTGCCAATGGGCAGCAGCAGAGCTAGGCTCAGCCCTGGCCACACATTCTGCCATCAGAGAGGCAGAGGCTGCCCAAGCCCCTCACGTGGGTAATAACAGGAGGGCCAGCCTTCGGCTGTGCTTTGCCAAGCAGCATTTAGTCTACACCCTAACTCTGCCCCACCAAGGAGCTGTGGGGGGCCTCACCAGGCTGAAATGTGGGGTGGAGTATGAGCCTGGGGGGCCCTTGTGGAGGGCCGACTTCTGGATCAGCACAAACCACACTGGGTACCGAATGGATGCTTTGCTTTGTTATAGCCTTGTGAGGAAGGTGGCCACTTCCCTCTTACAGATGGGGACACTGAGGCACAGCAAGCCTGGATGGTATGCCAAGGGTCACCAGCAAGAAGGTGATGAGGTAGAAGTTGCACGTCCCAGCGCACCCTGTGGCTGGGGGTCCGGGCCTCCGTCTGCAGGTGTCTGCCTGTCATCAGCATCACTGTTCATGGCAGCAATGCAAATCTGATAGAACGATCTGATCTGGTCAAGCAGCACCCACATTCCTGACCTTGTGCAGCACTCAAAACCATCATGGAGGGCGGCAGGGAAGAAATCATTATTATCCTCATTTCAACAGGAGGAAACAAACACAGAGAGGTGGCCGACATGCCCAGCACCCAAGTCAGCGAGGGAGCAGTCAGAAGTGGATGCAGCACTGAAAATTCTAATATAACAGCGCATAAGAGGTAGGTTTGGGGAGCACTGCAGCCCACTACAGATGTGTGGGTACTGGCAACATACATGTAAACAGCACTCGCATATTAATAAGACATGACAAATTTCACAACATGAAAAAGGGCAGGGCAACTAGTTAAGAAAATGGCATCCATATCAGAAATGGAGAAGCAAAACCTCTCTATTAGAGGACAGTAAATCCCCAGGAACCTGCTAAAAATCTATGAGAACTAATAAACCAGTCCAGCAAGCTTGCAGGTTACAAGGTCACACCTGCACGGCCGGCCAAGTGGCGCATTGGTTAAGAACTGGCTTGGGATGCCAGAGGGCCCCGGTTCGGATCCCACATATGAGGGCCAGTGACACTGCCCTCCACAGCTAAGATGCTGAACAACAGCTCAACCTGGAGCTGGGCTGCCGTGAGTCGCCTGTGATGGCATAGGCTGCAGCCCCTGTGGCAGTGGGTTGCCATGGGCTACCGTGTGTAGCCAGCAGCCAGCGTGTGTAGCCAGCAGCCAGCGTGAGCAGCAAGCAGCCGCAGTGAGCGGCCGTCCAGAAGCTGGCAACTGATCGGCCTCGCCCGGGAAGAGCGCAATGATGGTGCCAACTTGGGCCAGTGAAGCAACATCCTCCACAACTAGACGGAAGAACATAAGGACAGCAACTTGTCTGTTCCCCTTCCCCCAATTCCCCAGTAAAATCTTAAAAAAAAAAAAAAAATAAGGTCACACCTGCAAACCCATGCTATTTTCAGAACAATGGCGAGGAACAAACTAAAAAGGAAATTAAGAAAACAACTCCAATTACAAGGGCATCAAGAAAATACATTACTTAGGAATAGATTTAACAAAGGAAGTGTAAGACAAACTCTGAAAACGACAAAGGATTGTTGAGAAATGTTGAAGGCCTAATAAATGGAAACAGCCTGTGCCCATGAGTCAGAGGACAGTGGTATGGTTCCGCTCTACAGATTCAGCAAGGGCCCCGCACCGTCCCAGCTCTGCCTCTGCAGAAATGGGCAAACTGCTCCTAAAGATCCACGAGGAGGCCCTCCACGCCCACGTCCCACCAGCCAGGGGCGGGCACCGCTGCCTGCGCCCTGCTGTTCTTAGGGGGGTTTTGGCACTTGATCCCTCCGTCTGGCCAGCATCCCCCCTCCTGACCAAGCACTCGCCACAGCACAGGTTCTCAAAGGTACTGTGATGGACTTCCGGGATGTGCTGAGCTGGCTGACGCAGAAACTCCTCCAGAGGCCATGAAAGGTCTGGGCGCCCATGAGGAGAACATCCTGACTGCTGACATCCTCAAGTAATGCCCCAGGACACTGCTGCAGCTTTCCAAAGCCATTTGGCAGGGAGCTTCTGGGCGACCTACAATCCAAACTGACTGGAGAGTTTGAAAAAGTGATCGTGGCTCTGATAAAACCGTTACAGAGAATGATGTTGTACTCGATTCTTGTCTTCTTGAAGGAAAGAATTTAGTCAAGAGACAAGTTTGTGCAGCATAGAACAGCAAGAAGTTTATTAGTAAAAGCAA